TGTCAAGGTCACAGTTGGGCAGTGCCAGACATCTTAGTCCCCACTGCCAAGGTCAGCTGCCTGCCCAGCTACTCTAAAAGAACTCAATGTCCCCACAAAGGCTTTTTTAAAACTTAATTTGGGCTGGGTGTTGGTGGCGCACGCCTTTAACCCCAGCACTCAGCAGGCAGGCAGGAGGATCTCTGTGAGTTCGAGACCAGCCTGGTCTACTGAGCGAGTTCCAGGACAGGCTCCAAAACACCAACGCCTGGCTTCATCTGACACTTTTGCAGACATACATGCAGGCAAAACATGAATGCACACAAAATAAAAATAAATTATTTTAAAAAAATTGTGCATCAGTGAATAGGTCTGTGCACTTGAGAATATGTGGGTGCCCACGGAGTCCAGAAGAGGGTGTCAGACCTCCTAAAGCTGGACTTCCAGGCAGTTGGGAGCCACCTAACATGGGTACTAGTTACCTACCTTTTCCAGCCAGAGAAACCAAAATACAGACAGGTGAAATGACTTATCCCACACAGCTAACCGTAATCAGTCAACGATAAAGGGTATTCAGGTGCTCTTCGTTCAGCCCACCTCAGAGGGCAGGGCAAGAGCTTCACTCTGTTCAACTGGGAGGGGTAATCTTGGTTGTCAACTTGTGGCATCTGGAAATCGGGAACCTCAGTTGACAATTGCCTCCATCAAATTGTCCTGTGAGTATGTCTTTTTTTTTCTTCTTCAAGACAGGGTTTCTCTGTATTGTTTTGGAGGCTGTGCTGGAACTCGCTCTGTAGACCAAGCTGGCCTCGAACTCACGGAGATCTGCCTGCCTCTGCCTCCCGAGTGCTGGGATTAGAGTCGTGTGCTACCACATTATCTTGATTGCCCATTGGTAGAGAATGGCTAAACCCACTGTGGATGCTGCTACCACAGAGCAGGTAGTCCTGGGCTATATAAAAAAGACAGCTGAGCAAGCCAGTAAAGAACATTCCTCCATTGTGTCTGCTTTGGTTCCCGCCTCCAGGTTGTCTTGATTTCCTATATTGGCTTCCTTGAAATGATAGACCACAGCCTGTAAATAAAAGAAGCCCCTTCTGTCTCCAAAGTTGCTTCTGTACAGCAACAGAACACTAAATTAGGACAACACCCCAGCAAGTTTGACAGGAAAATTGTGGCATACACAGATGTCTCAAGAAAAAAAGGGGGCCTTTGTGGGGGGATGGGGACCATCTTAGATCCCATTTCCTCCTCAGGCTTGATTCTGCCCGGCCTGACTTCTTAGGATTCAGTGTGGGCCTTTCATAAACACAAGGAATTTGAACTGGGCAGTGGGTGGTGGCACACACCTTTAATCCCAGCACTTGGGAGGCAGAGGCAGGAGGATCTCTGAGCTCAAGGCCAGCCTGGTCTACAGAGCGAGTTCCAGAACAGCCAGGGGTACACAGAGAAACCCTGTCTCGAAAAACACAAAACAAGAAACAAACAAGACAAGGAGTTTAGGTGCTGCTGCCCCATCTCCCTAGAGGCTGGGTACTGGGCATCCTGTCTGGACTGAATGCCATGACTTGGACACAGTCTGGAGCCTAGAGCCTTCCTTCCTAAGTCTTCATCTTTGAGAGGGGTGACCAGTTCTGCCCTGATTTGGGAAACAAAAGGAACTTGGGGCTGGGCAGAGGTGTGACCTCTGCTATTGTGGTTACTGCTGAAACAGAAACTTCCAAGGTAGGTTAATGACCTGGGTGCAATTCCAACCCCTGAATCTCTGAACCCCTTAAAGGGGTCTCCCACCCACTACGTTGGTCTGTTACTCTATTTTGCCTATGAAGATGCCAAGTCACCTGCCCATAATCTCCTTAAGCAAGCCCTTGGTTCTAATGAGGGATGGGGCTGCGGGCCAGAGCTCCTCTGACGTCCCGCCAATTTTTCTGCAGACAGCAGTTTGTGGGGCAGGTGGAAACGAAGCTGACACCCTGTGGATTGGGGCTTTCCCTTGCAGGGTTCCTGAGTCCTAGAGCTGTGTTGAAGAGTAGCTTGTCATCTGGACACAGTGCTCCCCAAATTTGCTGGAGGTATTGGTCAAAAAAAGGGGTGTTGGAGGCATGAGAAGGGGAAACTGCTGAAGGAGGAACCCAGTTTTACTAGCTTTGCTAGGGCCCCTCTGCCCCCTCCCCTCCCTAGGGACAGGAAGAGACAGGGAAGTCCCGTTCTGACATGCAACCATGGTACCTGACTTGGCTTGCTTTAAGCCTGAAGTGGTCCCAGTTACAGGGCTGTAAAGCCCCTCTTGTCCTGACCCCTTAGCAGCTGCTTCCCCCCATTTCCTATTCTCTCTCACCCCCCCCCCATGCCTCTGTGTCTCTGTAAGACTAGATGAGACTCTGTGGGTGGTGTCTAAACTCCCCCACTGCCACCATGACACCACCCGTCTGCCGAGGAACCTTCTGGCCTCACCACAGCTTCCTGTCTGAAGATGTCGGGGTTCAGGGGAGGCTGCTAGAGCTGTGGGTGCTAGGGCCCCACCACCTCTACCTCTTGAGCACCGGGTGCTGTGTAGAGGGCTGAGGTATCTCTGCTTCCGCAGGACAGAAGCAAGTAGCCAGACAGGCCTTACATGTGGGCCCCGTGGGCACAGACATAGCAGTGCCCATGGCTGTCATTCCATTTGGGATTTGTTAAAAATGGAACTTTCTGGGGTCATTCCTGTCCCACAACTCTGATCATTACTGACTGGGAAGGTAGGCCCCTTTCCCCAGTTCTAGAGCTTTCTATGGCATTTACTAAACTCGTTTCTAACTCAGTCATTGTCCTCACCCCCTTAGCCTCCACTTTTCTTCAGTCTAGACAGTTACTGCCATCATTTTCCCCACATTATCCCAAGGCTCAGCCACAGGTAGAGCTGACTCATCTCCCTGATAATGAATTCATTTACTCCACAGTCACGGCTAGAGCCTCCTCCTGACAAACACCATGCACACATATGACCCAGCCTCATAAGTACACTGCTCACCGGCCAGGGAATTTCCTCCAGCCAGTAGGACTTCCCCAGTCACTCTTGAGTGACAGATGACATGCTACTTCTTCAACACACTTCTAGGACTTAGGAATCCTGTCTTAGAAAAAGGAACAGCGAGTAGACACTCCTTGAGAGGGCATCTAGGTTCTCTACCCCCTACACAAGGAGCTGGGGCCAGAGCAATGTGTGGTACTGCATACAGCTCAGGCCACTAGGAAGGAGGGTGGAGAACTGGAGGGTGCCATGGGCTACTTAGAGTGTTTGAGGCAAGCCAGAGAGACAGAGGTGCTGTCTCGAACAGACAGACAAACTCAGACTGGGGACTGGGGACTGCAGCTCAGTGGTAGAGCGTAGTAAGCACACACACAAGACAAGTCTAAAGAACCGAATGTGCTGAGCTGCCCAAGAGCCAGCCCGTGCCGAATGCTGTGTAGACGAATTTGGTTATTTTGACTATTTTAGCTCTGATAAAAGATGAAGAAAATGAGGTTCAGATGCCCCCAATGGCACAACTGGGTGGAATCAAGTCAGGTCTTGGTCTGACTCCAGGCAGGTAGCAGAACATTACAGACAAGATCGCCACATGGCATTATCATCACAACCTTCCGGTGACAGCCCCTGGGAACCCTCTATCCCTCTGCAGCCCCTGGGAACAAACGTCCTTCTACCAGAAGAAGCATTCAGAACCCTCATGACTTCAGGCATCTCCTCTTTCCCAGAAAATGTCCAAAATGATCCCTGCTCTGGTCTGATGGGGGGGACGCGGTCCTGAACAGGAACTTTGGGATGTGACAGGAAAGACTGATGGCCGAGGAGGAAAAAAAAGAGACTTCCTGGCCTCTCCTGGAGCTGTGGGGAGGCGTGCAATACTTGCGCTCAAGCAGTACTTCCCCCAAAGTGTGGCCAATGGTCCTGCCCCTCCCTGGCTCCTGGAGCAGAGGCATGTGAAAGTAAGTTTTCCGAGACAGACTTTTACTGCTCTCGGGGCCACACCTCAGAATTCCTTTCTCACACACCTGGGGTTGGAGGAGAGGGTGGGCGGGAGCCTCCGTGGGCCACTCAGAGGGGTCAGGAGTTTCTTCAGTAGAACCTGCCCATTCCAGGAATGAGGTAGAGGTCTGGGGTGGGGATAGCCCCCTCCTTGTCTTCTCCAGGGAATGGTGAGGAGGGGAGAATGCCTGGATTTGGGCTCCATTTAAGACCAGTGACTTTACCTCACATACACAGGGATGGACTGGCAGGGAAGGGGCACTCAGTGACGTGGCTCCAGTCACTAGACACTGAGTCACCAAGCTGGGTGAGGCTCCACCTGGTCCAACCTTTACCCTGCAAATGCTCATGACACCCCAAAGGGAATCCCAGTGTTTGGACTATGAGCAGAAGTCCCCCCCTTAAGGGCTGGCAAGCAGTAGATAGAACCTTGTTGTGATCCATTTCCTAGACTTTAGGTTCTTTTCCAAAGCTGTCTGTTTCTTCACCGAAAAACCAAAACACAGAATGGACTGTAGCCCCAGGATCCCAGAAGTCAGGGACACAGGAGGTCCATTCACAGAACCTTGGGGGCTCAACACAGAAGTGACAGCCACAGAACCCTGGAGTCACAGCTGTGATCTAGAGTTTGCTAACCTAAAACTATAATAGGGCTCAGCAGCACAGGCCATTGGAACCCAAGCCCCAGGGGACTCAAATCAAAGACCACGGTTAAGTAAGGAATTCTGTAACCTTGGGAGGTAGAAGTACAGCCCACGTTTTCTAGAACCACAGGAGAGGAACAAGGCTGGAGAACAGAACATAGTGCTGGGGGTTGGGGGGTGGCTCAGAGTTCACATCTATCACCACCATTTAAAGCTGAGATGGCAGAGGTCCTTTTGGCTTACAGGGCCTCCTAGCCAGCACCCTGCAAAGACCTTCTGGCATGATAAGGCGTCAGGAAGGGAATGCCCCCAACAAGGCAGGGGAAACCCTTGGGATGACCACGGGGACCTTTGGGCTCTGGTGCACTCACCAGCCGTGTCGTAGAGGTTCAGGGTCACTTCCTTGTTGCCCACTGCCACACTAGCCGTGTACTTCTCAAACACCGATGGGGCATAGTGCTACGAGAGAAGGTTGATCTTTTAGGAGGTACACAGGAGGCCCAGAGGCCCAGACAGATCCCTCCCCCACAACTGTCTAACACCTTCGCTCCATCCAGCTCAGACCTGGCAAACTACTGAGCTCAGGGATTCTCGCATCCAGGATTGCACGGTCCTGACTTTGAGCCTGGGTCCAGGCTGGAGGGCATCCCTTGTTCCCTGAGGTCCCAAGCCCATCCTCACCCCTCCTGCCACCTACCGGGCCTCACCTCGGGAAAGGAGCCTTGGCAGTACACCATGAGCAGCGACGTCTTGCCGCAGCCGCCGTCACCCACGATCACTATCTTCAGCTCCTTCCTTGCCGAGCTGGGGGCGGCGGCAGGGGCCGGAGCACCTGGGGCGTCCATAGCCCAGAGCCCGCAGCGCTGGATGCTGCGCTCTGGCCAGAGCCCAGTTGAGCGACAGGGTGGGGGCGGGGCTGTAGGGCGGGGCCACGAGGCTCCGCCCTCGGGCAGCTGGCACCACCTCTGCCAGGCAGCCTCCCGGGTTCACCTCCTTGCCTCAATTATCTTATGCTACGGTCCCGGCCCTGGGTGTTTGTCTCTCAGTCCCCGGGGAAATGACAAAAACCGAGGAACCGGATGCAGAACCGCAAGCGCAGCGCATCCCATCACCATGCGTCCCTGCACCCCCTTAGCTCGCCGGATTCGTGGTTTCTGCCTCTTCACACCGACAGCCCTTATTGGCAGGCTCCGCCTTCTGGCGAGGACCCTTTGATTGGTCGGCTCCACCCACAGCGACTCGATTGGCCGGCTGTACCCGGCACCCGGGTTCGCATCCAGCCCTTGCCGTTAGTCGGCCAGAGAGGCCTGTTTTCCCACAGGTTGTTGCCATGGTCGTCCCCGAGAAGACGCCAGACCACGGATCGTGTGTCCACATAGTCTGGGACAAGTCCTTGTCAGTGTGCGACTGTAGGAATTCTGCTCCCTCCCCACTCGGTCTGTTGACCCACACCGTGGAGTCGTGGCGCCCCCTGCGGGAGAACACCTTCTGCACTGGCTTCAGGTAAACAGCCTGCTTCCAGAGTTGACGCGGAATACGTAGACAGTATTGAGCAGGGCTCAGAGGGGCGAACCCAAGCATGACACTGTTGCGACTGTGACAGGTCGTCGCCTGTGGCCCTTCCGTAAGCTTCGGAAACCGATAATCCCCATCTCCACTAAGAAGTGTTCTGGTGTCCTCTGGCTCTATGTCTTTCAGCTAAGGAATTCCACTCCCATCACCATCCAAACAGCTCATGGCTGAAGAGCTTAATGCAAACAAGTACTAACGATACAGGTGGCTGATGTCATGTGACCCATCCTTTTCCTGTTACTATGAGCTGAGGGTCCCTGCAGCCTGCCAGAGATAGGCGGACCCGGGTGCATGAACATACCTACAAGTTCTCGGCAAACACCCAGGAAAGTTCACCTTGAGGAGTAAACTACCAACGCAGGGGGGGGGGGTCATTTCTTCTTGTCTCCCCGCCCCTCCCCTTTCCTCCAGGAGGCGCAAGGCAAAGCCATACCACCGGAGGGCAGCAGCGACCGCGCATGGAAACTCAAAAGACACAGGGACTGGGGGAGTGGAAACCTGGACCAACCTCCAGTTTTTGGGCAGAAACCCCTTCTTGTCGCTGGATCAAGGGCCCCTTAGACAAACGTTCAGCAACTCGTTCATTCCTTTTTTGCAATTTGTTTATTTAGAAGCAACTGTGTTCCTGCCTGTGAGGAAAGCAGTGTGGTGGAGCTCCCAGCACCAATGTGATCAATTTTGAGATTACAGCTGAGGGACCAGAAGCTGTTTGCTGTACTGGGTACAGCTGGGCAGAGGGTTAGCCAATGGAAGCTGGAAGGGGTGCCCAATGTGGGCAAACATACTGCAGCTGGAAAACCCTCTTCAGGTTTTCAGGGGTGAGGAGACAGGCCCAAGTGGTTGTCAAGGCAACAGGCTAAATCAGGGACTGCTGGTTGTAGAGGGAGAAGGGCTACAAAGAGACCCAACTACAGTGAGTCCTGTCAAAGCCAGGCAACGGAGGAGGGGCTGGGGCTACACCCTAGTGGCCCTTTGAGGGACAGCATGCCAGAGGATATAGAGCAGGCTACTCCAGCGTGGGGAAGAAACTGCACAAAGAGGGGGAGGTTAGAGCGAGCGGGGACCCACTTACCTCTGCAGGGATTCCAGGCTTCTTCGGGCTTGGTCCGGGGCCCAGGAGGCTGGCAGGTTTCATGTGCCAGGGGAAAACTCACAAGAAAAAAAAAATTGTTCTACTACATAGAGCCAAGAGAGTGCTCCTGACTTTCCCCAAATCCCCCAGAACCGTGCCTGCTGCACTCTCCATCCTTGGTGACAGAGCAAGTCTGCAGGAAGCTGCAGGGACAAAGTGACCAAAAGCCAGTAATTCTTCCTCAGGTGGGTTCGGGCAGCATGCTGCTACTGGTTCCAGCCTGCCCGCCCACCCACCCCAGCCTCACCAGGAGGCTGGCAGAACCCCAGCACTATCAGGCCTGGAGTGTTGGACTTGGACCCAGCTTCTCATGGTGATGGTGGGGCTGGATCTGTGTAGCTAAAAATACACAGGAATCCAGCCAGCTGCTGTTTAGAACCTCCTCAAGAGGTCAGGCCAGGCCGGCCCAGCTGAGGAGATAAGACACACTCACCCACACGGAGTGGCTTATTCCCTCACCTGCAATATGTTATACTCCTCCCCCCCCGCCCTGATTATCCAGGAATTCCAGGAAAGAGTAGAAAAGCAAGAGATCCCTTCAGTTGGTCCTGACTCAGGGAGCTGGCAGCAGGGTGGTCTTAGGGAAGATTATGCTACAGAGATCAACAGGGAGTGGGGCGTTGGTGGCGCACGCCTTTAATCCCAGCACTCGGGAGGCAGAGGCAGGAGGATCTCTGTGAGTTCAAGACCAGCTTGGTCTACAGAGGGAGTTCCAGGACAGCCTCCAAAGCCACAGGGAAACCCTGTCTCAAAAAACCAAAAAAAAAAAAAAAAAGATCAACAGGGAAAGCCAGCCCAGGAGAGCGGAGGCAGAATGCCCTCATCCTGCAGGACAAAGTACAAATTTGGATGGGGGAGGCCAAGGGGCCACTCCCCTTCTCAGAGGCACCATAAATCAATTATTTTGCTATCCAAATGCAGATGGTACCAATAGCGGTGAGATAAGGACTCCAGCTAGAGTCTTAACAGATAAAGGGGGGAGGGTGTGAAGCCAGGGTGCCTGGGGGTGCTATCCTATCCACCTGGCTAGGCAGGCTCCCTCCAAGTCTCAGCTGCCAACCAGCTCTAGGGAACAAGCGGGGGATGGGCAAGTCGTTTCTAGAAGTCAGGCTGGACAAACAGCTGAAGTCCAGCGCGAAGGAAGTGTACTTAATGGTCTCAGACAGCCAAGAGCGTGCCAAGACCCTCTGACAACACCAAATGTTAGAAAGGGCCCTCCGGGTTCATCCACAGGAACTTGCCCGAGAACACACCACAGGGGGCAGGTGATAGTTGGGGGGCATTTCTTCCCATCTTGGCTGCCAGCTCTACCCTGTGCGTCTAAAAGGTCATATTCCAAACTGGGGCTCTAGGCCAGGTGGAGGAGACGGAAGGGGCGGGGACGCTGGAATCTGTGTAGTGAAGCTAGTCCAGCCGCCTCCCAGCTCAGGCAGTCCTTCCGCTGGCGTGGCCCTCTCTCAGCAGGCCAAAGCAGCCACGCCCCAAGCAAGCTCAGTGAGTGACCAGTGAGCGGGGCACCCCTCAGGGCCAGGAACAACAGCAGGACAAACTGCCCCACCCTACCGCCCAAGAGGTGATAAGGGGGCAAAAAAAAAAAAAAAAAAAAAAAAAAGGGAAAGAGCCTGAGGTGGAGAAGGCAGGCACAAGTAGGCCGTCACTTCCGTGGTTCCCTTTCAAGCACCCAACTGTACCCAGAGTCTGTAGCCCTCCAGGGTACAGCTGACACAGCATGACTTTAATCAATCACTTAGTTTGGGGCGGGAGGAGATAAAGACCCTAGACTCTAAACAGAGAAGCAGAAGAGCCCTTACTTAGACCAAGAAAGGCGTACAGGGTATCGATAGGATAAACCGAATCAACTTAGAAAAGTGATTTTCCGGGCTCTTCCCACTTGGGGTGAGGAGTTCAGCTCTCCCAGCACAAAGTCGGCTCTTCCAGGACTGGACGGCTGGCCCTCGACACCAGCAGGAGTCACAGGACCATCCCGGTGCCTTGCTACCAGCCCCTGGCAGTGATGGGAACAGACAGCCGGCACCGGAGGGTGCCTAAAATAACCCAGACAGCTGGGCAAGGGGGTGTCAGGGGCCCAGACTCTGGGCTGAAAATCAAGATACCTGGAACCCTGTCCAGGCTCAGCCAGTGGTGGCCTCATAACCTTGGGTGAGACGTTTTTCGTCTCTTGGGGCCACTGGTGGGTAACCCTTAAAAAGCATGACCCCACCAGAGAACTGCCCATTGAGAGCCCGGAAAGCCTGGACTAAAACCTGAGCTGGAAGAAAAACAGCTGGACGCCTTCCCAAGCACAGGCAGTTTTCTTTCGCCTTTGCCCGGAGGCTCCAGCACGTGCTTCAGGAAGTGGGCTGGCGGGGAGGAGCCCCAGGACACAGCCCAGCCCCCACCCCTGCAACCACTCCCAGCAACAGTCCCTTTCGTAATGGAGGCCAACTGGTTGTGCCGCCAGAGCAGGAGTACGGCCCCCTTAATCTCCATTAATCCTCCCGCCAACCTTTTCAGGCAGTTATCGTGATCCTTCTACGGGCGAAACAGTGGCCCAAGGTCACTACCCCGCAGCTGCCGGGCTTGAAGCACCCCTGACTGGGCACCAACATGCGCCTCCTACAACATCTCCGTGAAGTCTGCCAGGCTCCCCAAGCCACACTTCAGCACCCAACTGCAGGGGTGAGGAACAAGGGGAAAGAAAGCAGCTCAGGCCAAAACAGGGGAAGCAGCATGATCCGTGGCACCTGTAGCCAAATGGCTTATCAAAGTCACATATAACTAGAAACACACTTGGCGGCTTGGGGGCAGGGATCAAGGGCCATACCACCTTCAGCTGGGAAGCTTCAGGGCCTCGGGAGGGCAAGCCAAACCTACCCAGCAGGGGAATATCCCAGGTGTCACCTGGCAGGGAGAGTCTGGAAAACTCGTAGAGCCTGGGACCTTGTAATAAGTGCAAATTCTTAAAATGCACCTCGGAATGAGAAACTCAAGAGATGGCACAGTCAGCTTAAATGAGTTTCCCTACTGACTTCTGATGCCTGGGCTGGCTAATCTTTGCAGACAGGGAGACCTGCTCAGAGACGTGTTGACTATGCAAGGTCACCACAGGTGACGGGCCAGACGCCTTTGTAAGATTCTAGAAGCCAGACTATCGACAGCCTGGCCTTGTTGGGAGCCAGGAGGGCACTGTGAGAATCCAGGAAAAAGGGGATGTCAAGGAAACCTTTTCTCTGGGAAAGTTGCCTAAGATTTCAGGTCTTGGTTCTTTGTCTACCCAGCAAGGCAGACTTCAGAGGGTGGCTCATTTGGTTACCCTAATGGGGCTCCGGAGGGAGGGCTGAAGCACCACCGGCAAGCCTGGCAGCGGTCAAAGCCTTCAAGGAGCAGCCAGGGCCCTCCCACCCACCAGCAAACACACCACTGGGAAATACTTCGTAGTCCTGCTCTAGTAAGCTGCTAAATTCGGCGTAGACTCGCCCGCCCTAAACGCCTGACAACAGAGGTTGACAGGCGGGGCTGGATGGACCCAGCAGGCCGCCCATTTCACACACACAACCGCCACATCAGCGTGGGGGAGGGGCTGCAGAACCAGCCCAGCGAGTTTGGGAATCCCAACCCGCCCTTCGAAGGCCGCAGGCCAGAGCCCCCTGATACAGTTCTCTCAACTTGGGGAAAGGGCTCTTACCTACCTTAGTGGGAAAGCTGTCAGCCAAATTAGGCCTGCTCCTGATGTCCAGAGGAAGCAAGGATTGTCTACTGTGGGGATGACCCAGACATTGCTCCGGTCTCCGGCCAAGACCTGTGAATTCGGACGATCTGTTAGGGCAGTCCCAGTTTGTAGGTCAGAGAATGGATTGGCCAAATGCAAACCAACAGGGTCTACTAGATAGAAAGGAAGCCTCAGAAATGCTGCCCCCCTTTCCCAGCTGACAAGGCTGCCCTCACTCAGGAATGGATGGGGTGAGGTGGGGTGGCTGAGTCACTAAGGTTCAGCCAGGGCGACAAGCAGCAGGAGACGACTCATCTGCATTTCCAAAGGCCCGCCCTGTCCGCATCCCCTCCCCCAAGAAGGCCGAGATCTAAGGCTTCACCCTCTGGCACTATCAAGGGGGGGGATCCCGAGGGGAGGCCCCAATCGGCTTTCCCAGGCCCCAACCGCCCCCCTTCAACACACACCTCCAACCCGCAGGGCTGGGTTGGAGGCTGTGCCCCTGGCGTCCAAGTGAAGGGACTCAGGCACAGCGAGGGCCTCTAACCCAAAGTGGGGACAAAAGGGGAGACCCGCCCCTCCGGCTCGGCTATCAAAGGACGACTGGGGGAGGCAGGGGTGGGTCTCCTGAAGCCGAGTGGGCAGTGAAGGGAGGCTTGGGCAGCCTTTTAGCCCTTGGCTACTTGGCTCCTGTTCCCAGGCAGAATAGCAGACACTGGAGCCAGGGCGAGGCCTCGTGCCCGCCTGGGCCTTGGAGTCCGGGGCTGCAGCGGAGATCAGGGTCTTCAACCCTCCTCCAGCGGCTCGCCCTGCCCTGCCCTGCCGGGCTCCGGCTCCTCCCGCGGCCGCCACTGCGGGAGCCGCGCGCCGCGCCCGAGAAGGGGGAAGGGGGGCCGAGTGCGGGAACTGTGATGCGCGACGCCCCCGAGGCCTAAGGCCCCCAGAGACCCATCACCGGGATTCCGGGTGCCGAGCCTTGCAGGCTCTTAGGACCCGGGATTGCCTCCCGGCTCCCAGCGACACCCCGGCAAAGCAGGATGGCGGAAGGAAGGAGGAGAACCGGCCGCCATTAGCCACCGCAGTATTGAACGGCCGGGCGGCCCCAGCCTTGGCCCCAACCCGGCCCAGCCCGCTGCTCGGCTCAAAACCTGAAAATAAAACTCATGTTTGGGAGGGAGGAGCGAGCGCGGCCGGGAGGACAGGCAGCGCCGGGCTTCAGGCGGCAGAGATGCTGCGTCATGGTGCCAACATGGACGCCGGCCTTTTGTCCTTTTTCTCTTTGGAAAAGCAGGCGAGCCCCGGAGCCCGAAAAGCTGACTTAAGGGTGCAG